TCAGGGGATTCAATTGCTTCTAATTTGGTTTTCTTTCCATTTGGTTTGCTCTTGGATCCAGCAAATATGAAGTACAAAGAATATTTAAAAAAAATTTTTTTAATGTTTTTTATTATTGAGAGAGAGAGACAGAGCATGAGCAGGGAAGGGGCAGAGAGAGGGGGAGACACAGAATCCAAAGCAGGCTCCAGGCTCTGAGCTGTCAGCACAGAGCCCAACACGGGGCTCAAACTCACAAACCACGAGATCATGACCTGAGCTGAAGTCGGATGCTCAACCAACTGAGCCACCCAGGCACCCCCTCCCCTTAAAAAAAATTTTTTTTAATGTTTCAAAGTACAAAGAATATTTTTAAAAATCAGGATGCAATTGAAATAAAAGTAGTAATTGGAACATTTAGTGGATAATTGATGATATTAAGGAATTATTTTTAAATTGAATTAAATGTAATAGTATTCCGGTTATAAATTTAACAATTTCTGTCTCTTAGAAGTGCACAGTGAAATAATCGTTTCAGGATAATTGAGGGAAGGGGAAATGGTGAGGCTATATATAAAACAAGACTGGCCATGATTCGATCATTTGGACGTTGAGCACTGTATGCATGAGATTTCCTCCTCTTCTGTAGGATTTTGTAATTTTATATGAGAAATGTTTTTTAATTCTACCAAAAGCTGATCATCTTAATGTATAAAATAATGAGGCAGCTCCCTCCATGTTAACCACAAAACGGTTTCCATGATATGTTGTAGAGGAAAGAAAGGAAGACATAAAGTAGCTTGTCTGGAATACTACCAGTTAGGTTTAAGGTCTAAACATACACAAATATGTACTGTGTTTGCCTTTAGAGAAGACTGCACTCGTGTGAAGAGATTTACAGTTTGTAACACATGCTTTGGTACTGTTGGGAAAGTTTTGCCAGGCACAAAAGAAAGTAATATGTTTTAAAAATCAATTTTCAGGGGCGCCTGGGTGGCGCAGTCGGTTAAGCGTCCGACTTCAGCCAGGTCACGATCTCGCGGTCCGTGAGTTCGAGCCCCGCCTCAGGCTCTGGGCTGTTGGCTCGGAGCCTGGAGCCTGTTTCCGATTCTGTGTCTCCCTCTCTCTCTGCCCCTCCCCCGTTCATGCTCTGTCTCTCTCTGTCCCAAAAATAAATAAAAAAAAAAAAAAATCAGTTTTCAGAGCACCTGGGTGGCTCAGTCGGTTAAGCGTCTGACTCTCGATCTCAGCTCAGGTCTGGATCTCAGGGTCGTGAGTTCAAACCCCTCACTGGGCTCCACACTGGGCGTGGAGCCTACTTTTAAAAAACATTAAAATTAAAATTAGAAAAATCAATTTTCAAAATCTTCTCTTTGTCCCCACCAGCACTATGGACTTAAGGATGTTTCTTAACCTCTCTGTGCTTCCAGTGCCTCTGCTATGGAAAGGGACTAATAAAAGTGCTTTCCCCCAAGGGTAACACTGAAAATACATTAGTTAACTTGTGAAAAGTGCTTCCTGTCTTGCCTTGTAAGAACTCGATCTCACAATTTTACTTGTATTGTTGAGAAAAGGAAATAAGGAAATGGTCTAATGCTTGAGGACTCACAAGTCTCAACATGTAACATATTACTCAGAATGATCTGTTCAAGAGTCCAGGTGTCTCCCACTGAGAAACAACAGCTTGTGTTTGTCATATATGCTCTAACCCAGGGGCTCTTAACCGAAGGGGAATTTTGTCTTCCAGGGGACATTTAGTTTTCTAGTGGGTAGAGGCCAAGGATGCTACTGAAAACCCTACATTGGACAGTCTCCTATGACAAAGTACGGACATTGGACAGTCTCCTGTGGCAAAGTATGGACATTGGACAGTCTCCTATGGCAAAGTATAATACAGCCCCAAACATCAACAGCATCACGACCAGGAAACTGCTCTAACCTATGACCAGCATCTGGTGCTGTTTCTTCCAGACAGCAGAGCAGTCACATCCAGGTTCCAAAAGGTAAGTTTGAGAGGAGCATTTTTCATGGTTGCCTGTCATATCAAAAATCACTTAAATGCATCATTTTAAGATTAAGAATCTACCAAAATCCTTTATTTGCCTTTATATGCACAAATAGCTAAATCAAGATTTTTTTGATTAAAAGATATGTGTGTTCATAGATGTTCTCAGATTACGCACATTAATTTAAGTGCCACTATTCACGGTGACCAATTATCCTAAAGGCCTACAGAGATGAAATGTTGGGGTCCACAAGAGAAACAAGGCAACCTTGGGTAAGCAAATGTTCCCAAAGGGCTTGTTTTACAGACAAACCTTAAGGATGTATTTGTGGTTACTCAATACTGAATCAGATTTTTATTCTCAAATATTTTTCAGTTCCCAACTTTTAAAATGAGTTTCCTCTTAATGGCTTTAGTGTAGCATTTCCTCTTCTGTTGCCCTGCATCTGACAGCTCTTTCCTCTCTCCTGTGGGTCCAGAATGTTCTTCGTAAGCATCTACTAAATTGGAATGCCTGCAGTCTCCAGGTGGCCCGCTAGCATTTAATGGATTGGCGCTGGCTAAGAAAATGCCACCCTGAACAAAATATAATCTATGCAGTGAAGAGAAAACCGGAAATTTAACAGATAGACTCTGAGATACATGATATTATGTTCTCGCATACCTAAGGCCCACTCTCAACATTTCCGCTTTCTCAGAAGGAAGATCTGGATGACCCTTTGGGTGAAGGACAGAAACAAGTTCTGAAGCTGGCAGAAGGGAGGGATCATGGGATGGGAGGTGGACAAAAGTCACACTGGGACCACACACCAGTCACACAAATGGGGCACAGCATCTTCACATATGCCCCTCCTTGCTGTTGCTGAGCGCATTTGTATTTTTGACCAATTTTCTTCTTCCACATCCTTTCCCTTACCATTGTTTACAGGCTATGTTTATGGTGTCCTATTTTTTCACATTAGTACACAGGTAGCAGACTATCCACGCAGGACTTTGACATTCTAGAGGAAGAATGGACTAAACATGGGAAGAAGGAAATACGTTGATTTGGGGCTGTCAAAGGTGTGAAATGTAAGCAATTATCTGTCATGATTTTTTTTTAAACCAGCGTCTGAACCTTCCTTCTGTGTTTGGGGTATCCACCCTGAAAAGAGGCTAAAATGTTCCCAGCATCCCTTGCAGCAAGAACACCCAGGCTCTGTCACTCAGGTGCTTTCGTGCCAGATTTGGGACAAGGATTTGCAATCAAAAAAGGGAGGAACTGCCCAGAATTAAATGTTCTGAGGCCGGCACTTGAGGCAAAGCAAATCCAGTTTCTAGAATCAGCTGTGATTAACAGCGCACTAGGGATATCTCTGTCTGGGTCCAGGAAAGACCGTGGGATGTCTGCAAAGGACCAGTCTGCAGAATGATTTTTTTTAACCATTTTTCATGATTCAGTCAACTCTCTGCCTGATTTTGGAGATTTTGTGAGCTATTTAGTGCCTGTGTTTTCTGCTTACATTAGCCCGACTTCTCCTCTCCTGCTTGCACCCAATCACTGTATGATCATATTTGGAAACTTGGTAAATGATAGGAATAGTACAATGAGTGGAGTTTTTTCTTCTTTCCACTTTTCTATGTCACTATCATAACAGAAGAAGGGGGAAAAATGGGCTTTCTTTTTTGTCTGTTCATCTGCTTTTTCTTTTGAAAGCTTGGCTCTGACTCTAACTACAGGGAGGAGACCCCCGAAGAATGGTGGCAAACATTAACTCTGGAAACTTCAAGGCACCAACCTCAACTCACTCTATGGCGACCTTTTTGGCACCTAGATGACAGGTTTGCCCTATAAAAGGATGACTCATCACAGAGAATCAGGAAAAGCACTTCAAACTGTCTGTCAGCAATTGCCTCTCTGGACAGCTTTCAAAGCCCGCCATCTGTCCCCACCAGGGTCAATTTTCCTAGCTTAAGCATTTAGAGCTAATTGAAAAGATGTATTTGGTTTGCTTTTCTAGCTACCTTTATTCTCAGGAAAAATCTTTCCTATTTCCTTCTCTCTCAATCCTCTCAGGATTTTTGCCCTACCAGAAACCCAGAGGGAAGCCTGTTAGGTTTGTAGAGGCATATGCCCTTCCTCACATCATGAAAGGAGCCTGACTACTTCTGTCCAGTTGTAAAGCCTTTTGGTTTTCTATTTCCTTTTTGAAGAAATGAGATGCAACTCCCTTCCTTTTATCATATGGAGTTTTCTGACTATCCCTGATGTAAAGTTCATGGGCATCTAAGAATACTTCTCAAAAACCTTTGGCATTAGTAACCAACAACTTCTTTTTTTAATTTTTTTATTTTTTTTTAATTTTTTTCAACTTTTTTATTTATTTATGGGACAGACAGAGACAGAGCATGAACGGGGGAGGGGCAGAGAGAGAGGGAGACACAGAATCGGAAACAGGCTCCAGGCTCCGAGCCATCAGCCCAGAGCCCGACGTGGGGCTCGAACTCACGCGAGATCACGCAAGATCTCGCGAGATCGTGCCCTGGCTGAAGTCGGACGCTTCACCGACTGCGCCACCCAGGAGCCCCTTTTTAATTTTCTTTTAATCTTTATTTATTTTTGAGAGAGAGACAGAGTGTGAGCAGGGGAGAAGCAGAGAGAGGGAGACACAGAATCCGAAGCAGGCTCCAGGCCCTGAGCTGTCAGCACAGAGCCGACGCGGAATTCGAACTCACGAACCATGAGATCATGACCTGAGCGGAAGTCAGACGCTCAACTGACTGAGCCACCCAGATGCCCCAGTAACCAACAACTTCTGCAAATTCTTTACGACAGTGCTTCCATGAGTGATCTGTCTAAAAGTCTGAATCCCTCCAAAAGCGAAACATTTTAGCATAACATTCTAATACTATTTAAAAATATTTTTTTTAATTTTATTTTAGAGAGATAGAGACAGAGACAGAGCGCGAGTTGGGGAGGGCTGGGGGGTGGTGGGAGACACAGAATCTAAAGCAGGCTCCAGGCTCTGAGCTGTCAGCACAGAGCCTGAGGTGGGGCTGGAATCCATGACCCGTGAGGTCATGACCTGAGCTGAAGTCAGACACTTGACCTGCTGGGCCACCCGCGTGCCTCTCAAATACTATTTTTTAATGAGCAGATTCACTTTTAGCTCCCCAAATCTTCTAAGAACAGAAACTCCCAGAAGTGCATCTATAAACCTTAAGTTGATGATCTAGCACAATTACAGTCAGCAAAATGACCATAATATGCAAAATGCACATACATGGCACGGGCAGCAGGTCAGTTTTTCCTGAAAAATGGACCTGTGAGCTGATAGAGAAAATACAGGCAGCAGTTAATATGATGTATGTGGGGAGGGTGCCCCGGGGAGTGGGGAAGTGAACAAGACCTTGATTTCTGGGAAAGAGAAGCATCTCTGTACAGCTCCGGTGATGGGAGGTATCACAGAGCTGTGTGCTGCCAGAGGAGCCTGGATAGGTGGGTAAAATCAAAACTTAGAGGCCATAAAAAATTTTAGCCTCTCGTGACCAAAAGGGAGCTGATTATAGGTGCCTGGCTGCAGTGTGGGGAAAGGGTTGTTGAATACAGGAATAGACATGGGGCCAACCGGGTCAGAGGTGAGGCCGCCCTGGGGAGAACCGACAGCAGGCTGAAGGAGGGCAAGGCAGTGGGAATGGAGACGAGGAAAGGAATCTGAAATCCAGGAGGTGAAACTGACGTTGCTTAACTGTGCATTGACTTGAAGCCTGCGGCAAATTCTTTGACTGAGTTCCTGGTTCTTCTCTTGGATGGTTGTCCACACACACTGCCACCCTCATGACTTGACCTCATCTCCCTCTCTCTCTCAGTTCCTGCTATTCCCTGACCATGCTCAGCACTTTTCTACCTCAGATCTTTGTCTGGGCTGCTCTCTGGAGCAAGACCCTCTCCTCCAAATACCCATATGGCTCATTCCACATCTCCTTCAAAGTTCTGCCCAAATACTCTATTCTCACTGGGACAACTGAGACCTTCCTTCCCTCCACACAACTGATCTTCCTATTTTATATTTTCCTATAGACTAATCATCTTCGAACACCCCTAAAATGAATATATCCTTTTCTTATTATTGTGTTTATTATGTATCTTCCCAGTAGGGTATAATCACCACGAGGAAAAAGATTTTAGTCTGTTTCGCTCACTGATCTATCACCAGCTCCTAGAAAATGCATAGGATGCGTAAATGCACACTGAGTAGTTGATGAAGGAATGAATAAATAAAGGAAGAAGGAATATCTTAATTATCACAGTTGTCCTGGTGAGGACACCCACCAAATACCAAAGAAATCTTTCTTTACCTTCATGTCTCATCTGAACTTTGCTTGGTATGCTTGTTTCCATGTTGCTGATTTTTATACATATCAAAACCAGGTGCCTATGTTTTCTGAATGAAAATAAAATGAACTCAAATTCTGCAGCTTGTCAAATCCACAGCTTGAGAAATGTGGTAATAAAGAACATCCTATAAAGAGAATTAAGGTCAAAATGTAAGTCCATTCATGAGTTAAGTCATCCAAACTATCACTTTAAATATGCATATGCTGGGGCGCCTGGGTGGCTTGGTCGGTTAAGCCTCCGACTTCCGCTCAGGTCATGATCTCACGGCCCCGGCCCGTGAGTTCGAGCCCCGCGTCGGGCTCTGTGCTGACCGCTCAGAGCCTGGAGCCTGTTTCAGATTCTGTGTCTCCCTCTCTCTCTGCCCCTCCCCTGTTCATGCTCTGTCTCTCTCTGTCTCAAAAATAAATAAACGTTGAAAAAAAATTTTTAAATAAATGAATAAATAAATAAATAAATATGCATATGCTTAGGTACTACATTGCAATAACTACATCATCTTGGTTTTCATGGTCAAAAAGAAGACACACTTGAAAGTTGTAGCCTCTGGAATCTAGAAGATAAATATTGACCAAACTACTCGTCGTTTGCCTTTAACTGACTGTCTTGAACATTTTAACTGAATATGCTCAGTGGCTTGAGAATTAATATTAGCTAAATACTTTCTGTCACTGTATATTATTACTTTTTTATTTTTTTTAAGTTTATTTATTTATTTTGAGAGAGAAAATGAAAGTGGGGGAGGGGCAGAGCAAGAGAGTGAGTCCCAAGCAGGATCCACACTGTCAGAGCAGAGCCCCACAAGGGGCTCGAACGCACCAACTGTGAGATTATGACCTGAACCAAAGTCAGACACTTAATGGACTGAGCCACCCAGGCACCCCTACCTCACTTTTTTTTAATTGAGACATAACTTTTATACAATAAAATGTATAGAATTGAGTGTTCAGAGCTGTGAGTTTTGACATATATGCCATATACTCTCCCTCCAAACAAGATATAATACATTTCCAGAAACTCCCTTTGGGCCTCGTGCCCCATTGTAGCCAATACACGCCCACAACAACAGCCAATTTCTGATCTTTATCCCCATAGATATTAGTCTTCCTATTCCTGCAATTCATTAAAATGGAATCTTCAGTATCTATTCTTTTGGGTCTCACTTAACTGCACTCATCACCTAACACAGATGTTTATTTTTAAAAGATGTTTCTTTCCTGTCTCTTCTCAATACTGCAGGGACTTGTGTTTGTTCAATGATGTATTCCTGGTACCCAGAGCAGGGACTTGCACATAGAAAGTGTACAGAATTGGGGCACCTGGGTGGCTCAGTCGGTTAGGCGTCCGACTTCAGCTCAGGTCATGATCTCACAGCTCATGAGTTTGAGCCCCGCGTCAGTTTCTGTGCTGACAGCTCAGAGCCTGGGGCCAGCTTCGGATTCTGTGTCTCCCTCTTTCTCTGCCCCTCCCCCACTTGTGTCTGTCTCTCAAAAATGAATAAATGTAAAAAAAAAAATTTTTTTTAAAAGAAAGTGTACAGAATTATAAGGATATGCCGTTCAGTTAGGGTGCATGTGGCTATAAAGGGGTAGCCTAAGGGGAGCTTTGTGGTGGGAGAGCAGTTATGTATCTTGATTGGTGCTTACACAAATCTACACATGTGATACAACAGCATAGAACTACACACACACACACACACACACACACACACACACACACACACGAGTACATGTAAAACTGATGAAATCTGAGCCAGCTCTGTGGCTTGTCCCAATGTCTGTTTCCTGTCTGTGACATTGCACTATAATTACGCAAGAAAACTAGGTAAACGGTGCACAAGAAACCCCTGTTCATTTTTTTTTTTTACATCTCCCTGTTAATCTATAACTATTTCAAACTAAATAGTTTTTCAAACTGTTGAATGATTAATTCATTAAGCACAATATTCAGGTATGTTTTTAAAAATAAGAACTTCAAAAGGAAGATAATATTCGATAGTGTTCAGAGTAGCTTTCTTTGGATCTCATACTGATGGCAGATTTATTTTTGTCTATCTAGATGTTTAAATTCCTCATGGGAAAAAAATGTAACTTTAGACTTTCACTTTTGTTTTGGTTTGGGTTTCATTTTGTTTTGTTTTGTTTTTTGTTTTTTTGTTTTTTGGGGGGCTTTTTTGGTCCTTTAGATATTCTTTGAGTCTCTTGCCAAAGAAAGAGGCTTTCAAATAATCCTTGAAACGTAAAGATATCAACCCAGCCCCCTAAGCTGAGCCCCCAGTTTGCCCTAAAGTGAGAACACGTCCCGGAACCTAGTAAACCACGTGGTTGCCCAGGGAAGCTGCTATGGGCTGTAGATACCAGTGGCCTCTCTCCAGCCAGCCTCTGAAAACTGCTTGATGTCTTCCTCCACTGGAGAGTTGATTTGTCTAGCCTGGCACTGGACAAGCTCATTGGAAAGAACAGATGTGGTTTGTAGGTTTTAGGTAGTTTGCCTAAAGGAAATATTTTCTCCCTGCCCCTCCCACCTGAAACAGAAAGAGAAGTTTCGTGGGCATATAAGGGCATTGTGCTCCTAATGCCATTGGAAAGCCATGCCCGTGACTCATTCTTTCCATTCCTAGAAGGCAGCTCAGCTTTACAAATTGAACCTATTTATTTATTTGGGGGGAGGGGGGCTCAATTTTCTAGTTTTTTAAAAATTTAAATCCAAGTTAGTTAACATAGAGTGTAATAATAATTTCAGGAATAGAATTTAGTGATTCTTACATATAACCCTCAGACTCTTATTTATTTTAATGCAAAACAACCTCCTTCCTTCTCCTTTCTGCTCCTCTACCCGATAGGCCCTTGGCAACAATTTTCAGAAGGTTTTTGGAACTAGCAGCCTCCAATTGTGCAAAATGTCGCTGATAGCACTCCAGTGAGAAAGCTCTGTCAGAACCAAGAGCTAAGAAAGAATTTGATCCTTTAAAAGGAAAAAAAAAGAAAAAAAGCACATTTATCAAGACTAAACGATTTTTAAGTGGTTTTGTCATTTCTTTTCATCCAGCTCTGTGAATTGCCAAAGTGTGGGAGCCCCACAAGTTGCCATCTATGAATCTTATTGAATCAGGAGCATCTCCACCACAAAGCTCCAGCCCCTCGGGCCTCCAGTGGGGCCCAGAAGGAAGGAAGGAGGCTTCTATGGACAATAAGTCTCCTTTTCACTCTCTTTTCCTACCTTACAAACTCCAGGGTGTTTATCTGTCTCCTTATCACTTCTCTGAGATAACCTCCTTTTAAACGTGTTTTGAGCTGAAATAGTAGCACAGATGAGGGGGGTTTTACCTCTAAGAGTTTCTGGAATATACAAGTTCCAGATGAGAGGGCGGGAGGACCTTTTCTCGGGCAAGGTCGCAAGCAGTGCAAGCGGCTGGAATGGTGGATCTTCATGAACCCGTGAGGCATAGGAAGGTGCATCCAGGAGCTAAAGACCCTCTGTGAGCCCAGAGGGGGACAAAGCTTCCTTGAGGAGCATCTGTTTCCGTTTTACTCCACCTGTGTTACTGGTGTGCCTTCTTTCTCATCTCAAAATTTCACAGTCCTGACGTATTCCTTTTTTTCTTTAGCTATGTGGAAAGGGAACTCTCTCCATCGCCATGACCTGAAAACTGAGGTGCAGAGAAGAACAAGGGTTACTCAGCATCACACAAGGAATCAACCCCAGAGCACAGCTCCCCCCCCCCGCCACCCCCCCCCATCCCCGGTTCTCTACCTTCCATCTGTTCTTTCCGTTGCACGACCCCTGGAGCTGAGCACACTCACACCGGTTCCACATGTTGGGGGCACAGGCAAGGGCGATCCACCAGCCGGCACTCACGCGCTCGGCACCCAGGCTGGGGTGCAGCCTTGATTCATGATGGCAGAGGCAGACACAGCCCTTCCTCTCCCATCCCCTTTTGCCGTCTCCCCCTCCTGACCCTCCCATCAAAAACAGCTAAGAGAGGGGTGCCTGGGTGGCTCCGTCAGTTAAGCATCTGACTCTCGATTTCGGCTCAGGTCATGATCTCACGGTTCTTGAGTCAGAGCCCCACATCGGGCTCTGTGCTGACAGGGAGGAGCCTGCTTGAGATTCTCTCTTGCCCCTTCCCCTCTCATGCATGAGCACGCTCTCTCTCTCGCTCTCTCTCTCTCTCTCTCAAAATAAATAAACCTTTTTAAAAAGCTAAGAGAGATGTTTCAAATAATCAAAGAAAAAAGGCTAATATGAAACAAGAATGCTGCCAATACAGATAAAGCCAGGTCAGCGGCCTTAGGTATATACCATGGCTACCACATTTGGGAAAAGTGAGTTTATGCGGTTGTGAAATGAATCCACTAAATTAAAATAGCATCGGAGGACTGTATTACAGGGGAGCTACATGAGAGATTTTTGCTAAAGAAACTGCTTGGCAGACATCACCTTAGTCAAGTAATAAGCATGAACATCATTTGTAATGGGGTAAGTGGAAATCACGTGACATCTGATAGCATGAGGAACCCAGCGTCAACTTCTGTGATACTCTGGCCCAAATGCATAACCTAAAACTAATGACGAGGAAATAGCAAGAGAAATTCAAATTGAGGATATACAAAGACACCGGCTGTAGTCGTCAAAGGTGTCAAGGTCATAAGGTGAAGGAAAGACTGAAGAAGACTCAAACAATGACAATCAAACGTAACGCGCGTAACTCCTTGGAGCGGACACTGACAGCTCCTTCAGAGGGAGCATGTGGTCTCCAAAGGTCAGGGAGGTTGTGGGATCCGTAATGAGTTGGGCAAGACTCTGACTCAAATGTCCAACGTGTTTCTATCAAAATCATCCAACTGGCCATTAAGACACGTTGTTTAACCTCAACACGGAAGTGAAGTCCCTCCAGGAGAGTAAAGTTTGCGATCTCAGGCCCATTGAGTTTTCATAAATGATGAAAGTTGAGGCATCCCTTCCACCTCACCCTCCCGGGGCCAAGGTGGGGTTTGCTGCCTCAGGGCTCTCTGCCTTTAGAAGAGAAGAGCCACGGTCAGTTCAACCTGTCACCTCGTGTGTCATCCGCCAAGACGCCAGCAAGGGTCCAGCATACAGCCTCAGCTGCTCTGTCCTGAGTCTCCTAATTCTCGTGGCCCTGCCTTCCCCTGCCACCACTGCAGTTACGCTAGCAAACAGAGCTCCAGGCGGCTCGCAGGCTGCTTCTACAAGAAGGGCCAGGAGTCCAGCTTTACCCTGTGCTTGGCTGAACCGGCCCCATTTTTTCAGGGTCTTTATTATTGCCTTATAGAAAACTTTTTGTAACCTCATTACATAATTGAAATGTTTTGCTCATTCCCTGACAGTCAGAAATCTGGCATGCATTTTCTCAGCCCTCTCTACCTTTCCAAAGGCTCGAAGACCAGCACACAATAATGCACTGAGTTACTGCTTTCATAGCTTCCAATTCATCCATCGCCTTTGCATTCCACCTGCCGTAAGAGTCCTTTCTCTCAGCCTCCTAGCGGATCTGTTCCATAGTTTGAGCTCCTCCCTACTCCGGCCCTGCCTTTTATGCGCCATATGAACACCCATGACTTTCTGGACTTGGTAGAAAGACATGAATGTGATCCCACATGGGTGTGTGGCTTGTCCTGTTTCCCATCAGAGCCCCAAAGCCCGGGATCCTAGAAATGAAACCAGAAAGTCCCATTCTGTTTGGATTTTTCATATCACCTGTCAATCTAATGTTGTCCTCCAAAAATAATCTACTTTTCCCCCCCAAATATGTTAATTGATATGGACTTGTTCTCACCAGCACACATCCCCCACCCTGCTATGAGCTACCTGGCATCTTTCACAACACCGAATAACCCTAACTCTGCAATTGAACCATCAGTTTTAAAGCATATGCTTCATTTTTAGAAATGAGACCATGGGGCGCCTGAGTGGCTCAGTCGGTTATGTGTCCGACTTCAGCTCAGGTCATGATCTCTCAGTTCATGGGTTCAAACCCCATGTAGGGCTCTGTGCTGACAGCTCAGAGCCTGAAGCCTGCTTTGGGTTCTGTGTCTCCCTCTCTCTCTGCCCCTCGCCTGCTTGCCTTCTGTCCCTCTCTCTCAAAAATAAATAAACATTAAAAAAATTTTTTTAAGGAAATGAGGCCACAGCATCTTCTTTTCTCCTCAAAACACATCTTAGGTACCATTACCACTTTCTCAGGGTCTACTTCAGCTTCTTGAAACTATTTTTCTATCGGTTTAGCAGCCATGGCTAAGCAATGCCCTTGGCTCAGTTCTATAACCTGATGGCATTGAAACGCTGGAGGGCAACGCACAGCAACAAAGCAGGCTTCATGCTGCCCAATCTGACACACAATCTGAAGCCCAGAGAAAGACCAATCATGTCTTATCGCAAGTGTGTGTGATAGATTCTAATCCATGCAGAGGTTTTGGAGCAACCTCTTTTTTATATTCTACCTGTTTCCAAACTCCATCCACGAGCACAGGGCTTTAGTCCTATATTCTCAACGTTTATCCTAAGCATGTGTCTGCAACCAGCAGCAACCTTTCTTCCTGGGTCTTCTCCCTTTTCTTTGCCAGCCCTTTGGCGAATGCTCTGTGTCTGGTCTAGCCATTTTTCTTGGTCCGTTCAGCTTCCCTACTTATTCCGAGGCTGAGTTGGGAAGGGGGAATGAGATGGCAAAGGAGAGGTGGCAAGATCCTTACCAGACTGGCCTCTGCAAGGATTGTCTAGAAGATATACGGGCTTATAAACTGTAGGTACTAAGTTTAAGCTGGTAAATCTTCCTAAACTCCCCCACACCCTAGCTCATATTTTGAAAATATGCCCCTTTCTCATTGTAGGCTCTATATGGATCAGGCTCCAGGAAGGAAAGAAAGGAGAGAAAAACCCATTCTTTCACACATGCTGTAATCTGTACTGAAAAGGATTTCAGTCAACATGTAGAGAGCCTCCATAATGTTTGGAAAAGAAGATACTGAGTGCGTCAGAAGTCAGATGGGTACGTGCATATCCAGGGATGGACGTGTAAATGTATAAAAACATTTCTACAGGATAATTTGTCACTATGTATCAAAAACCCTCTAAATGCTAATCTTTTGGCTTGTTTCAATTCTCCTTCTAGGAATCCATCTTATAATCAGAAATGCAGATCAAGAGGTAAATAATACAGGGGCGCCTAGGTGGCTCAGTTGATTGAGCGTCCGACTTCAGCTCGGGTCATGATCTCATAGTTCATGAGTTTGAGCCCTGTGTCAGGCTCTGTGTTGACAGCTCAGAGCCAGAGCCTGCTGGGATTCTGTGTCTCCATCTCTCTCTGCCCCTCCCCCACTCATACGCTGTCTCTCTCTCAAAATAAATAAACATTTTTTTAAAAAGGTATTTTTAACACAATTATTGTGACTACCACAGTTCTGGAACAATTTAATTTCCAAAATGGAAAATGACCAAATGCAATTTCAGTAAAAGAGTTGGGCTGTTACACAGCCATTAAAAAACTATGTTTAAATGTATGTATGTGTGGTAAAACGTTCAAGATGTAAATCATGGGTAAAAGAATACAACATGGAATTGTATACAATATACAAAATAATCCCAATTTTATAAATACCTAAATATATGTACATATATAGACTCTATATAGATAGATACTTTATAGATACAGATGTATAATAATCGATTGGAATGTTAACTAGGGTTATTTCTAATATTGGGATTATATATAGGTGATATTTTTTCTATTATTTTTGGTATTTCCTCATTTTCTCTTTTTTAATTTACTTATTTTTGAGAGAGAGAGAGAGAGAGAGAGAGAGAGCGAGCACAAGTGGGGGCAAAGAGAGAGGTAGAGAGAGAATCCCAAGCAGGCTCCTCACTGTCAGCACAGAGCCCAAACAGGGGCTCAGGCTCATGAACAGTAAGATCATGATCTGAGCCGAAATCAAGAGTCAGGCACTTAACCTACTGAGCCACCCAGGAGCCCCTCCTCATTTTTTAAAATATTTACTTTAGAGAGACAGAACATGTTCGTGAGAGTGGGGGTGAAGGGCAGACAGAGAGAGAGAATCTTAAGCAGGCTCTGTGCTCAGTGCCTTTGCATGGAGCCTGACATGGGGCTTGATCCCACAACCCTGGGATCTTGACCAGAGCTGAGAACAAGAGTTGAACACTCAACTGACCAAGCCGCCCAGGTGCCTCTCTTCACTTTTTATAATAAACACACGGTACTTTTATCATCATAAAAATGTTATTTTAATATAAATAAGTGAAAATATTGGCAAAAGTCTGTCCATGCCTAGATCTTATAAAGCTAATATAGCTATGGTACAAAACCTGGCAAAGTCAGTATAAAGAAAAAAAACCCACAGATCAATGTGTCCCAAAGTTGGTATTCTAGAGAAGTCTGACCCATATATTTTAATAAATAGGAATGGTTTCCTTTCATTTTTAAGTAAATATATAGAGTGTTGCATTAAATAAATTTAAGGAGTATTATTTACTACAGGATTGCTCAGAGCCTTCAATATGCTAACATGACTTTGAATTTGCAAAAACATATGTAAACATGGCATTTCTTAAAGTTATTTAAGTAGTTCACTTACTAATATGTTCCTGACCACTGTTCCACAGAATAAAAATCTAAAACTGCTGATTAGATGAAGTTCATTAAAAAAAAAAATAGATCAAAACTCCTAAAAAAGGAAGGATTAGTAATTTTAACAACTTAATGAAAACATAATTTACCATAATTAAGTGCATATATTCTATGAATGTAAGAAGTTAAACCTGAAAATCTCCTGGATCAATAAAAAAAGGAAGAAATTTAGTAAGATGCTTTGTTCACTCCATATTTTATATATTTTGGCACACTAGAAATAAAAGTATATTTCTTTAACATGATTAAGTATTATCTCTCCACTTTAAATCAATAGCTAACATCTCACTTAATGGGTTCTTTAAAACAAAATATCAGTAGCATTCCTTCAGAACAGCAATGGCCAGTTGGAAAATGTAGTGACAAAAAAATGATATTTTAGGTGAACAA